TGGTCCAGAAAGTTCATGAGTAAGCAGGATGCAATGTTGTCTGGAGGTTGGCTATTTTTTTTTAGATTGACCAACTTCAGGAAAAAAATGAGTGAATATATAGCAAAAAACTTTCATAAATGTTATTTTATAAAAAAAAAAGCTTCACATTTCAAGGACATGAGTCAATGAGACTGAGAATCCAGTTTATCCTGTAGAGATTAATAATATATATTTTTTAAATCCTCAAGAATTTTTTTAAAAGTGTAATGTGTCCTCAAGGGACATTTGGTAATGATGCGAGATCATTTTGGTATTCACAACTGGAGGACGGGGTACAGTACTACTGGCATCTGGTGAGTAGAAGCCAGGGATGCTGTTAAACATCCTGTAATGCACAGGATGGCCTCTCACAACAAAGAATTATCCAGCCCAAAATATCAGTGGTGCCAAGGTTTAAAAAACCTGCTCTAGGAATTTAATCTACAAATATATTGGCACACATGAAATAACTTATGTACAATCATTTCTGTTTGAAATACAAACTATTGAAGTGACATATACATAAACAGATGGTTTAAATACACTAGGGTTAATTTGTGCAACAGTGCATATGATATTCCATTATTCGTGTTTTTTAAAAAGTGGTAGATGTACTAGTAAATATATAAACACTAGAGACCCCATGCACGGATTTGTGCACCAGTGGGGTCCCTCGGCCTGGCCTGCGGGATCAGGCTGGGCCCGAAACTGGCTCTCCAATATCCCCCAAGAGATCCAGGATTGCAAGAGGGTGCAGGCCAGGATGAGGACCCCCACCGGTGCACAATCGGGCCTAGAGAGGGCCACAGGAGGTTGGCCAGCCAGGGAGGAATCCAGGGCGTGTCTGGCCCTTTTTGCTCAGTCAAGATAGGCCGGACCCCAACAGCAAGCTAAGCTACCAGAGTGTCTGCCTCCTGGTGGTCAGTGCACATCATAGCAACTGGTCGACCGGTCGACTGCCCCTGTTGGTCAGTGCACATCATAGCGACTGGTTGACTGGTTGACTGTCTGTCCCCTGGTGGTCAGTGCATGTCATAGCGAGTGGTTGAGCGGCCTTAGCATATCACTAACATATTATGCTTTGATTGGCTGAATGGACAACCGGACCCTTAGCATATTAGGCTTTCATTATATAGGATACAGCGGTGGCTCGGAAGGTCTGTCTAACATATTACGCCAGGGGTCCTCAAACTACGGCCCGTGGGCCACATGCAAATACAAATATTGTATTTGTTCCCATTTTGTTTTTTTACCTCAAAATAAGATATGTGCAGTATGCATAGGAATTTGTTCATAGTTTTTTTTTAAACTATAGTCCGGCCCTCCAACGGTCTGAGGGACAGTAAACTGGCCCTCTGTTTAAAAAGTTTGAGGCACCCTGTATTACGCTTTGATTTGTTGAACGGACAACCAGACACTTAGCATATCAGGCTTTTATTATATAAGATTATATATAAATTATATAAATATATCTGTCCTTGGAGTGGAACTTTGATGACTGAAGAAAAGAACCTTTGCTGGGAAAAACACATTGTTTCAGTGCAATATTGCCCTCAGAGCCAAGTAACCACTGGGCCCTGTGTTTTAGAAGGACCTGTTCTGGCTCTCTATCCATGCTTCTCCCCCTGGAGTGATGAAGTCCAAGGAACCAAGGGATGTATGTCTCCACCCCAAAGGCCAAGCCTGCTTCCAAGGTCTACACAGTCCTTTTCCCAAGTTCCATCTTCCTGAAGAGTGGCCAAGGAGGGGATTGACTATATTCAGGAAGTGTAGACAGAGCTTGGGCAAAAGGCTGGTGTATCCTTTGTGTGCAACTAAGGACTGTCAAACTGCAGGACAGAGCTGAGATGTGAGAAGAGAAGGAAGGCAGACTATACGGGCCCAGAGGGAGACTCTGGAACTTAAGGAAATCAAGAATTCTAGATTTGACTCTGGCTTCCAGGTCATTATGAAAATATATTTGTCAAAGTATACAAAAGGTGGGAGAAAATATATTTCAACAGTTAGCTTGATTTAAAACTTACAAATATTTAGACTTCTGGTATACGGTCTTCCATTTGTATACTTGTCCTGACCTTGCAAATGTCCATCTCTACAAATGTTAGATGGGCCTACTGCAGGAGGTGAGAGTGAATCCCTCTGACCCACTGCAGTACTTGTACTTGAGGATCTAGTAAGGCATAGAGACGAGTCCTAGGGGTTTAATCTGCTCCTTTTTTTCTCAGTCACCAGATCTCAGGGGCTATAGCAGAAAAGAAATTCTGAAGAGAAGATGGGAGAGTTGCTTTGAAACATAACTTCAAAACTCTCCAAGAGATTTGCATCTCATTCAAAGTAAAATCCAAGGCCCTTCAAAATATCCCGTCCCAATTCCAACCTTATTTTTCACCATTTTCCCCCTTTTCTGCCCCACTTCTGTCACACTGGTTTCCTTGCTATCCCACTCACTTCTTCAACATGCAACAGCCATAAGGCCTTTGTACTTGCTTCCAGGTTCCTGGATCTCTCTGTCTTGCCCTGGGGAAAAGCTTGGCCCGACTGCCTTCCTCAGAGGGCTTCCTGAATAAACAAGAAGTCCCAAATTCATTCTCGAACCTTTTTGTTACTCTATTTTTGGTCATAATGTTTATCAGTGTTCTTACACTATAGACCAATGTCTACTGTAGAGCATAGGCTCAACAAATATTCATTGAATGAATAAATTCAGTGAAAGGGCGAGGACTACGCCCTCCACCTTGCCCCAGGGTAAGGGCTACGCCCTCCACCTTGCCCCAGGGTAAGGGATATGCCCTCCATCTTACCTTG